TTGTGTAAGTGGTGTTTTATAATGGACAAATGTCTACTTCATTGTGTAAGTGGTTTTTTATAATTGATAAATGTCTTCTTAATTGTGTAAGGATTTGTTTATAATGGACCAATGTCAACTTCATTATTTAAGAGTTTCTTTATATTGGACAAATGTGTACTTCATTGTGTAAGTGTTGTTTTATAGTGGGCAAATGTCTACTTCATTGTGTAAGATTTTTTTCTATAATGGACAAATATCTACTTCATAGTGTAATAGTTCGATTATAATGGACAAATGTCTACTTCATTGTGAAAGAGTTTCTTTAGAATGTTATAAAATATAATTATTAATACAACGTTTTCGTTCTATTCTCTGAGAATATCTTTTCCATTGAGCAACAATATAAAAACACATTTTAGAATGGATGTGGACCATGCTCTCACGTTAGCAGATTGTGAATGTATTGAAGTTTGAGTGACTGTGGAATAGAAATTAATGCTCGGTTGAGATATTGTACACCTACAATTACATTCCGTTTTCATATCTTAACTAACTATATATATATATATATATATATATATATATATATATATATATATATATATATATATATATATATATATATATATATATATATATATATTTCAGAAAACCAGAAAACAAAACTAACAAATGTATCTATCCTTGTATCAAATTTTCTTTCTTATACAGCACACCAGACCTTCAGATTTTAAATTTTGAATATTTTTTAAATATTCACTCAAAATTCATAGAAAATGTTCGTATTGACGGAAACGAAATCAAGCAAGTAGAAATTTAAATAGATTTATATATATATTTTATTGTCTTTCAAAATTGATTGGGAAACTTAATTAACTATAAATATATTTTTTGTTTATTAATGACTAGAGCTGGGTAGGCTGGTGACTGAAACAAAATCAAGGGAAAGGAAATTAAAATTAAAAGTGAATGTATGATCTTTCAGAACTAATAATTGGGAAAACTTAAATAACATTGAATATCTTTTGTTTAACAATGGCTAGGGTTTGGCAGGTGAAATACGATCTGGGTAACGGTATGACGTATGGAGTTGTCCGACTGTTTGAACATAACGTCAAGTACGTCACAGAGACACATAATTTTGGATGTTCCGTGTACGGGAAGGTGAAGACTAGTGGAACGGAAACGTCTAAGTTGCATTATATTCATCATTCTAGGTCTACACCTGGCTTATATAAGGTAAACATAAGGTCCATGTGGCATTATATTCATCATGCTAGGTCTACACCTGGCTTATATAAGGTAACCAGAAGGTCCATGTGGCATTATATTCATCATTCTAGGTCTACACCTGGCTTATATAAGGTAACCAGAAGGTCCATGTGGCATTATATTCATCATTCTAGGTCTACACCTGGCTTATATAAGGTAAACTGAAGGTCCATGTGGCATTATATTCATCATTCTAGGTCTACACCTGGCTTATATAAGGTAAACAGAAGGTCCATGTGGCATTATATTCATCATGCTAGGTCAACACCTGGCTTATATAAGGTAAACATATGGTCTAGGTGGCATTATATTCATCATGCTAGGTCTACACCTGGCTTATATAAGGTAAACAGAAGGTCCATGTGGCATTATATTCATCATTCTAGGTCTACACCTGGCTTATATAAGGTAAACATAAGGTCCATGTGGCATTATATTCATCATTCTAGGTCTACACCTGGTTTATATAAGGTAAACAGAAGGTCTAGGTGGCATTATATTCATCATGCTAGGTCTACACCTGGCTTATATAAGGTAAACATAAGGTCTATGTGGCATTATATTCATCATTCTGGGTCTACACCTGGCTTATATAAGGTAAACAGAAGGTCCATGTGGCGTTATATTCATCATTCTAGGTCTACACCAGGCTTATATAAGGTAAACAGAAGGTCCATGTGGCGTTATATTCATCATTCTAGGTCTACACCTGGCTTATATAAGGTAAACAGAAGATCCATGTGGCATTATATTCATCTTTCTAGGTCAACACCTGGCTTATATAAGGTAAACAGAAGGTCCATGTGGCATTATATTCATCATTCTAGGTCTACACCTGGCTTATATAAGGTAAACAGAAGGTCTAGGGTGCATTATATTCATAATTCTAGGTCTACACCTGGCTTATATAAGGTAAACTGAAGGTCCATGTGGCATTATATTCATCATTCTAGGTCTACACCTGGCTTATATAAGGTAAACAGAAGGTCCATGTGGCATTATATTCATCATGCTATGTCCACACCTGGTTTATATAAGGTAAACAATGAAAATCTAAAAACTTAGTCTTTTAAAAACAATTGTTTGACTGTCTATACAAAAATGTTTCCGTGAGTGTGTAAAACTATGAACATTTCATGAGTAAAAAAATGTCAGACTATATAATTTAAAATTCCTTAAATGTTATAACTATTGTGAAAAATCGTAAGCAGTTATACAATCTGCAGACTTTTATCGACGAACTGAAATCAGGAAAAGTTAACATAGTGGACGTCCAAGATCATGAAGAAGATGAATGGGGCAATTTAATAATGACAACTTTAACCTATTCAGCAACAGAAGGTTATGTACCCATTGCGAAAAACATGTGTTATTTAATTATTTAAATAAAAATTAGAACTACACTCAGGCATGTAATTTACAGCGAGAAATAACATTGCCTTGTTCGCTTTAGTTTGACAGTTTTCATCAACGGCTTATGAGGACTGATACAGATTTACAACAGTTATACTTCTTTCTGACATGTAGGGCCTACTTGCATTCAAATGGTTTACTTTCACGTAAAGCAAAACGTATAGTTTTAATTTTATTTTTAAACCTGAAAATGTTTTAAAAAGAAGCATTTCATATACTTTTTATATCCCTGTTTAAATTATCTGAGCTATGGAAAATGTCTAATATTTCTACAAATATATATAAACAAGTAAATAAATAAATAAATAAATAAAATTAAATAAATAAAAATAAATAAATAAATAAAAATAAATAAATAAATAAAAATATATATAAGTATAATTATATATATATATATATATATATATATATATATATATATATATATATATATATATGTATGTATGTATATATACTCAATATATATGTATATTATATGTATATATATATATATATATATATATATATATATATATATATATATATATATATATATATATATATATATATATATATATATATTCGAATGTTGATTATATACATACACATACACATATGCACACGTATTTCATTTAATTACCATCAGACTATATAAGAAAAATGTTCTTTCAACACAACAGAGTGTCCGTTAGGATTCTATGGTGCCCTATGTGATCGTCAATGTAAATGTCCCAAACTTTTTTGCAACAAGCTCACTGGTGCATGCTACGAAGCTGATTGCCATAAGGGCTGGTTCGGTGAGGATTGTATGACGGGTGAGGTTTTTATATGAGTCAAAACATTATGCGTGGGGTTTATCATAATATATTATGTAGAAAAATATGTATGTATATGTACATGGTCATATTTTTCTCTTTTCATACCATATACCAGATCTAAATCACTAATACAAAGTACGCATGGCTCCAAATCCATTGGGTCTTTAAATGAGATTAAATCTAAAACATAAAAAAATGGATATTTATGAATGCAAAGTACAATATACTTTGTACTTCAATTTTTTTTTGTACATTGTTTCATCTTGTAAAAAAAAAATTGGAACATCAGAAAGAATTCAATTTTAATATAGTTCGCTATAAATAGCAACTATTTGTTGAACCTGTAGGGCAAAGGACTAACGCCAAACCTCTCCATCGGACTAAGTTTTCTTCTTTATATATATATATATATATATATATATATATATATATATATATATATATATATATATATATAAAATTATTATTATTATTATTAAAGAGGAGTAATATATTTGTCGTGAAATTTGAAAGCATTGGCATTGCTGTATTATCGAACAAATATAATTTAAATATAATTATAATGAGTATACCAAAATTATAATAATAACAATTATTTTGTATTAATAATTATTATACTTTAATTATAATTACATTATTATTATAATCATGGTAATTAAAATGTAACTATTATGATTATAATTATAATAATTATTATAAATAAATGTTGAATACTAAATTATTTTTAATCTTTTTTTTTTTTCATTTTTTTCTTTATTTCACGCCACGACACCAGAGGATTTAGCGTCTTTTATTTATGTAGTTGTACCCGAAGAGTTTTTTGACGGAGATGAAGCGTCCTGTCGCGTACCGGAAAACAACACAATTTACATTGAATTAATCGAGAATTTTTACCTCATATCCTTCAATCTAGTCTTAAAAGAACCAGGTAATTATCTTTGTGACCTGTAGCTTAATTAAGCTGAATGCGGAAATTAATTAATATAGCTTCACAGTGAATACATACTACTGCAATCCAACTCATTTTCTACCTATACTATTACACTGATTAACTAGAATCAGAGGCGCAGCGGGGGGGGGGGGGGGGGGGGGGCGGACCGCACTGGGTGACACCATTTAGGGGGGGGGGTGACACCAAGGCAAAAAATAGCAAAATATATAGAGAAAAACTTGAGGGGGGGTGCAATGCAAATCGAAAATTTGAGGGGGGGGGGGGTGCAAATCGAAAATTTGAGCGGGGGGGTGCAAATCGAAAATTTGAAAGTTTGTCCCCGGGTCGCTACGCCTCTGGGGGGTGGGGGGGGGGGGGGGTTGACACCATTAAGTGCGGCACCGGCGGGTGACACCAGACCTCGCTACGCCACTGATTAGAATGATTAAAACATATTGCAAATACCCTAAATCATCCGTCATCACACAGATCCTAATTTTTATTATAGACTTAATTTATTATCGTAATGTAGCAATGTAATTACATAGTATCACTAATTTTTTTCCAAATTTGATCAGTATTATAACATAAAGCAAAGTGATGTAAATAAATGGTAATTAACTTTTAGTAATAACACAGGGTTTATTAATTTCTTTTAAAACTACACCAGCGCAATTAATCGAGTCCGACATCGTTGTTAGTGTCTACGATCGGAAAGTAAAGGGTTACGTAAGGAAACGTGTTTTGGTGAACGAGGAGACGCCGACACGATTCACACTCCAGCTTACATCCTCAACATTGAACAGAAGAATGTTCGTGAACATACAAAAAGCTGTGTCTGTATGTACCTTGAACATAAACGGTGGTAGGTAAAGATTGTGTATTTGATTTAATGTTGTTGTTATTTTAATTATGTATAGGGGTCATCCATTTATGACAACCACAAGGGGGGAGATGGGGAGGGGGGGGGGGAGTACGAAAAAAATCGACGTTTGTGGACGTGTGTGTGGGGGGGGGGGTTGGAGGGGGGGGGGGGGGATCAGGTCTATGTGGACGTCCACAGGTTGAATTTAACATCGACGTGCTTATAATTTAAAAAGAGGCGTAGTGAGGGGGCGGACCGCACTGGGTGATAGCATTTAGGGGGGTGACACCAAGGCAAAAAATAGCAAAATATATAGAGGAAAATGATAATCCCACTTAATTAAGTGATTAATTCGAGTGTTAAATAGTCTATAAGAAATACAAATCAAAAGTTTGAGGGGGGGGGGGGTGCAAATCGAAAGTTTGAGGGGGGGGGGGGGAGTGCAAATCGAAAATTGAAAGTTCGTCCCCGTGAAGGGTCGCTTCGCCCCTGTGGGGTGACACCATTAAATGCAGCACCGGGGTAACACCTGACCTCGCTACACCAATGAATTTAAAACAATCATAAAACTCTTATCCTGCGTGTAAAACGTGAAATTAAAACAACAATACAGCAGCGTGTAAATGAAGCACCTGATTAACACCTACACCGGGGTCATCTATAATATAAGTAATGTCGAGATATGTGACGATTTTTACCTCCCCTCTTTCCCGATCGTCACTAATCTTCATTAAAAACCATGACCTGACACCTACAACGACGTCACTCATCAGCCTGCCACAACTCTCAAAACTGTAATTTAAAAAAAAAACAGCAATTTTAAAATACTTTTAATATAAAGGCCTAATAATAAACATTATCGAAAATAATAGAGCCGTATCAGTAAATAGGGGGGTTCGGCGTGGTCGAGTCGAGTCGAACCCTCGGGCAGATGAGGCTCGTTAGCTGGGGTGTGCCACTCTTCTAGGAGAGACAACTCCAAAATTTAACAACTGCTGCCTTGTAGTTTGTTCTTGGTTGGACAAAGGCTATGGAAGCAAATCCAAAAAGAAAAGCAGGCTGAAATCGGAGTCAATGGCCTCAATGGCGCATAACCAGTTGACACGTAACGCTTAATTGTGTTGGAGGCGTGGTCGAGTCGGCAAAAAGCTCATGGTTGATAAATTCGAACAAAGTCTCGAGTTCAAACCCACTGGCAGATAAATCTCGATCCCCTTCAACACTAATAATTAAGAACGAAGAAGAGGAAGAAGTAAATAGGCACACACTACGGGAACAGGGCATTTCCCCCCTGTCAATTACCCCCCGGACATTCCCCCCCCCCGACATTATCCCCCCAGAGTAATTACCCCCCTGTCAATTACCCCCTGTCAATTACCCCCCTGTCAATTACCCCCCCAGTAGGACATTACCCCCCGGACAGGGTTAGAGTAAGGGTTAGGGTTAGGGCTAGGTTTAGGGTTAGGGTTAGGTTTAGGGCTAGGGCTAGGGCTAGGGTTAGGGTTAAGGTTAGGGCTAGGTTTAGGGTTAGGTTTAGGGCTAGGGTTAGGGTTAGGGTTAGGGTTAGGGTTAGGGTTAGGGTTGTGTCAGAGTTGGTTTTGGTTTTGTGTGAAGTTTAAGGCTAAGGTGGATGCTTAGGTTTTGGTCTTTTTCTTAAGGTTTGGAATAAAGTAGTATAAAGGTATAGAATTCTAGTTAGAGTTAGGATTCTAACTTGAGAGGGGGGGGGGGGTAATTCCCCGGGGGGGGGGGGTAATTGACATGGGGGTAATTGACAGGGGGGTAATTGCTCCGGGGGGGGGGTAAATACGGGGGGGGGGAATGTCCGAGGGGAAATTTCCAGGGGGGTAATGTCCTGTAGCCACACACTACATGTTACTGAACTGGTAAATTGGTAGTAAGTGTTAAATTTTAGCGAACGTCCGAAAATCCGGAATTTTTGTGGACGTCATAAATGGATGACCCATTATGTTAAAAAAAATTAAAAAATAAACATATTGTAGTATAAATAGGCTAATCATTTATTTTAAACAGTTAAAAACTGAATTACGCCAATAACCTAATACTAAACGATGTAAAGGATAAAATTTTCCCTTACGTCTAATTAAGTTTGCTATATAACTAATTGCAAAGTGCACAATTGATACGTTTTTGGTTCGGTTCCCGAGTTCACAATTTTTAAGGCTTTAGTTATTTCAAATATTAGAAGTGACCGAAATAAAAAAAACCAGCAAGCTACATGTTGCGGAGTGACAGTAGAAATTAGGAAGTGAATGGACCTTCCGTATTTGAACAATGCTGATTGTGTGTGTTTTTATGTTTTTTTATGCATTACCGCAGTTTACTTCCGATTGCCGTGAAACTTTGGAAAGTTGTTGCGAATACACATTGGGAGGTGTCTGAGATGAAAAAAAAAACAATGAAATTTTAACGCGGTGCACCGGGTTTATATTTAGATATTTTCTATTTATAAACACGCCTCACTTGTTTAAAAATACCCGATTGGTTATGTGTTGATGAAACCCTTAAAAATATGTTTCGTCACTTTGTAGGACTGTACCGCAGCAACGCCGACGGGTACGCTTGTTATGTATAGAGATTGACACATTTTATTTACATATTTCTTGGCAGCACAAGGATTAGTAAAGTTGCATCGATCGGCCAAAGTAAGTATCCCAGGATTAGCCGACAACGACACGCTGCTCCAATCAATCACCGACGGAGGTCGATACAACACCTGCATTTCAACCAACACGACAGATAGAATTTTTATCGAGTTTGAAGGGGTGAAAAATGTATTCAGAATCGTCATTTATCCTGGTGGTATGTCAAGGTTTTATATTAAGTTTATTGTACAAATATGGGCACACAAACAAACAAACAACCAACCAACCAAACAAACAAACAAACGCGCATATACAAATGTAAGCGCTCTCCCTCACAACACTCTAAGGAATCTTTGAGAATGCTCGTGAAAAGGTTTCTGAGAGGGAAAAAAAGAATTTAAATTAAGGACGATCGGCGCCTCGGCAGTATGTAGGCCTTGATGCGATTTTTTTTTTCAGTGATTTTTTTGTTTTGTATTCTAAAACAAAAGTCGGACGTGTTTTGACATCATTTTTCCGATCGCCTTGAAACTTTGGAGAGTTGACAATACTCCCGGAAAGGTTTCTGCGAAAAAAAAATTATTTCTTAGGGCGGCGCCCCAGCATGATACGATTTTTCTCAATATACGGTATATAGAAATAAAAGTCAGATGTGCTCCCGAGTAGCTATCTTGATATCCCTTAGAAGAGCTTCATGCATTAGGTGTTAGGAATACAAATGGATTCAACGGTAAAATTGTACCAGACATACTTGCCGGCGCCTCGACTGATGAGTGACCGATATAGCCCTGGACACCCCCATGAACACTATAGAACCTACATTTATTTTAAAACGTGCCATTTATTAAAGACTACTGACTAAATCGAACAACAGGCGTCCTCTGTCATATCGGCCTTCGTAGTATCGGGTGCTACACTATGATGCCTACGTTCACTTTAAAAAGCGCTATACATTTTGGATATGGTGTGCTACTATAATCGTATCTATAAACCAGATGCGTCTTCTGCCGCCCCTATGAGCACTAAAGCCACTAGATATATTTTTAATATCTCTCACTGCTCAGTACATATTCTACTACTAAAACCGATGGATAAATCGAACAACTGCCATCATCCGGTACCCTAAAGTAGTGTACACGTTGATGCCTCTATTTCCAGTGGTCGTAGTGTAACAGATGGTTTTCGAGGAAGGCGGAGCGTATGGTTCATTTAAAACTGCGCCTCAACAACTAAGATCTTACAAATAACACGCAGATTTGCTACATTTAAATAACTCAAATTTAAGAAAACAAAGTCATACGTCTAGAAAACTTGAGATTGTTTACGCGTTAATAAAACCCTCAAAATATTTCGTCACCGGCGTGTTGGACTAGACCGCAGCAACGCTGGACGGGTACGCTAGTATTTAAATTAAATCGTTTTAATTTTTTTTTCAGACACGCCAACAACATTTGAAGTGACCTGTACCGACCAGTTCAATCACACCGTGCATTACCTCAAGCTTACAACTCACACAAGAGGTCCTTCATTTATCCATACGAACAAGCCGATGCACAAAATAGAAGTAAAAACGAGCGATCCGAAATTTGAAATGTGCGAAATAGAAATATTTGGAAGTAAGGACTTGTTTTAGTTAAAATAGGAAATGTGATGTTGCGTTAATATCATTTAATTCTCTCTAGGCATCACATATTATTTGAATATTTTAGGCCTGTTAAAACGAGAGAGACATTTTTACAACATTCCGACAATTCTGTACAATTCAAATTCTACTGTTTGCAATTAGCTCTGATTATATGCAGGCTTCACTGTCGGCGTGGTAGGGTCGGTTTTTTCTCGTGGTTGCTAAGCCGAGTAGTCATGAGTTCGAGCCCACTGGAGAGAACAAACCATCTAGAAGAGGACATTCCAAAAATCAAACAACCGCTTCCTTAAATTTTGTTCTTTGGTAGACAAAGGCTTTGGAAGCTAATTCCAGGAAGAAAAGCAGGCAGTAATTATAGACAACATCTTATATGGTGTATAACAGGAAGTTCACACGTTATACATTGTTGTATTGAAGGACATCCTGTCATACTTTACAATTAAGAACAAAATGGACAAGAAGAAATACTCACTGTATCATCTTGACTCATTTGTGCCCAAGACACGTGAGGCAGATGAAGTAGAGTTCATTTGTTTCAATGGACTTGGTATACAAGGGTACATGTAGTCAGCACTATGCCCAGTCGACTTTGTTTACCTAAAATGAATGGGACTCAGGTACGTTCTACTGGTTAAACCCTGATTCGCACTCGAGACTTTTAAGTCTAGCGCTCTACCGCTAGGCCACCCATCTCCCTTGAAATTACATTGTGATATTATTATTTAGATATTTATTACTGCTGTTAACGATGAATTATTTTAAATATGTTTTTATTATGTCATTTTGTCACATTGGTTTTGATTTCATACGTTTGAACAAACAAGCAACTTTATTTGTTGTTAATATCCTAACAGGTTTAAAAAACAACTTTATTGCGTTTAATCCTGATGACTATGTGCTGACTCTACCGTCGCCTATCTCGGAAAAAAACCTACTTTACATTCTGCTCATCTGCATTTTAGTCATTCTGATTCTGTCAAAACTTGAAGATATAGATACAGGTATGTTTGAAATAATAAGCTGTCATATATTTTTGTTTCCGTCCATTAGAAAACATAAGTAGAGGCCTTTCAAACTAAATCCAAAAACAATGAAATGAATCAATACATGAAACCAGAACAAAGATAACCCAAACAAAACAAAAAAAAAACAAAACACAAATGAACTCTGACCATTTAAACATGGTCAGGTAAGAAATGGACCGAAATCTTGGGTTGTTTTTTTTTTTGGGTGAAAAATTAGATTTTTGTTAAATTTTCGAATGTGAGAATATATATATATATATATATATATATATATATATATATATATATATATATATATATATATATATATATATATATATATATATATATATCTAATATATATATCAGTGTATTTCCTCGAGTTTTTGTTTTTGTTTATGTGCTTATATTAATAGTTAAGTTAGTGATTTTAAAAAAAAATTCTCGTTTTTAATTTTAGAAGAAGTACGAACGAAGGATGAAGGTGTAGAACATGTCTAAATTGAACACTTCTATTTGATACAGAAATTCTAAACATGAAATGACTTTTCTCAAGTTCCGAATCGTGTGTCTTTATTCGTTACACTTATTAGAATTGTGTATTTGTATTTAATTTAGATGTTTAAAAATGTAAATTACTAGGTAAAATTTACCTATTAAACTAAATGAAAATGTTTTTTTTTTACATTTATTTTTTGTTTCTATTTTTGTTTGAGATATTTCAGTTTGAGAAATAGATTTGTATTTGACAAAGAAATATCAGCGGACATATCAATCGGTATTTGTTGAAATGTTTCCGATAACAGGAAGTGGTACTTTATATAAATGGAAATAAGATAACTTGAGTATAGTTTCAGTTAGGTTGAGTTCAGTAGACAATATTTCACATGTAATTATAAGATCTTATACTTATAATTATTATCAACTTTCGAGAGATCCTCGATATCCGAAGGTGGAACTTTATTGTCGCATTCCAAAATACATACAACATTAAATTTTATACATAGGTATAATATATTTTTTTTCTTGAGGATGTCAAATTTTGACTGATTTCCGGTGATCGGAAGTACTACCTTAATCTGTTTTAGATTTTATCAAAAAATATAACTATTACCGGACCGATCAGTTTCAAACTTGTCACTACATCAAAGTTCGATGGCAATGCACAGTGACATAAAATTGTGAATTAATTATGTTTTGATTCACTTTTTACTAATTAATTAATGTTTTCTTTTTTTTTAAAAAAAAAACATTTTCTGCGGTTTTCTCGGCGTTTTCTACTATCACCCTTGCGAATGTGATAAAATCAACCGAAAATTATAATTTCGATATCTGGAAATAGCAGAGAGTGTAAACTGATTATCTGTATTGATATTTAACCAGCTGCTCATAGCGAAGCAAATAACGTCTCAACATTTGGCTTAAGCAATATTTTATAGCAGACGGTTTTCTGCTCATCTTACAAAGTAATGTTTTTTTTTTTTTTTTTTTTTTTTAACTATATTAGCTAAAACTACTGTTTATCGTAAGTTGTTATAATTTGAGCTAATACTAAATGTTTTTTATCAATATATCTGTGTGAAATACGCAAAGAATTTTCTATAAAAGTACAATAGACGAAAGGAGAAGGATAGTTGTTTACTTGCACAAAATAGTTTAATACATATTTTATTTTCAACGCTTTTAACAAAACATGATGCTATCTGTTCTCTCAAACGGACGGGCAATAAAATTTTCACTCGCTCATATCTAAAACAACAACCTCTCACTGACCTCTAAACAACAGGTCCCTATCCAACTCCCAATATCCAGCCTCACCCCCCTCCCCCGTACCCTTGTATATTTGTTATCAAATGTCTTGACCAGACGACCATCTCCACAGAACTGCCCCACCGTATCAGATAGACTACCAGGACCCCCGGTCACGTGCCTCACCCGACCCCCGGGGAGGTTCCCCCAGCATCCAGATTAAACTTCCCCCGTGAGTGGCTATTGGCTGACAACTGGGCAACAACTCGACCACTGGCAGGCCTGGGGTAACCTGTCTGACCTTTTCACCCTTGACCCCAAGCCATGTTTTACTGCTTGCTTATTTAGCAGATGCTGGACAGATAGGATCGGAGCCTGTGTGTAGTTAGTGGGTTGGAGATTTCTCAACGTGGTGGTCGGTCCGAGGGATGAACGCTGGGTCTTATGAAGAAAGTGGTCAGTTGGTGAGTTGGACCCTGGGTCTTATGAACAAGGTGTTCAGTAGGAGGGTTGGACACTGGGTCTATGAACTAAATGGTCAGTCGGAGGATTAGACTATGGTTCTTATGAACAAGGTGTTCAGTATGAGGGTTGGAGACTGGGTCTTATGGACAAAGTAGTCAGTTGGTGTGTTTGACACTGGGTCTTAACAAATCAGTCATATGCTGGGTTGGACCGTATGTCTTATGAACTAAATTATGGTCAGTTGGTGCGTTGAACGCTAGCTCTCATGAACAAGGTCGGTGGGTTATACCTTGGGTGTTATGAACAAAGGGGATTACTTGAGAGTAGTGATACCAAACATCTAACAATGTTGGAATGAGGTGGTGTAGAGACACACACTTACACTGGATGCAGAGACGCTTTTGTATAATATATACTAACCTTACTTATATTAGAGATAATTTATAAGACACATATAATTTAACACGTAATTGTTTAAACCCCAAACCTCTCCCCCTTCCCTACAGTAATTACATAACTATCAAAACTAAGTAACTTGCAACAGATGAGAACCTAGATCCCCCCCAAATGTCAGTCGGTTTATCATTCAATTGTTCCACCACCATCTCCTAACCTAAAGTACACAACGAGAACACAAAATCATTTTTTTTTAAAAGACCACTCAGATATTTATCTCAATAATTGACGCCACACGGCTCCCAATTAACTAAACAGGGGCCATTAATTTCTCGGGCTATCGAGTTACTGTGTCAAAGAGCGGCCCAGATACGCTGGATAACAATGTACTCTAACTTAATGATAACCCACGCCACCACACTGGCGAGGAAGTGCACAACCACAATACGTGCGTGAAAGTATCGCTTATGTTAGACTTAGGAGTCAGGGTGTGGTGTCGGAGTCATGGATTTGAAGAAGTGGAGTCATGATGTGCAAGTTGGAATGAACGTCTGTTTAATGACATCGATGATTTCACAAAACCATAACCTACCCAAGCCCATAATGCATAATGTGACAAAAAACCTACTCATGTCCATACTGCTTAATGTGACAAAAAAACCTACCCATGCCCATAATGCATAATGTGACAAAAAACCTACTCATGTCCATACTGCTTAATGTGACAAAAAAACCTACCCATGCCCATAATGCATAATGTGACAAAAAACCTACTCATGTCCATACTGCTTAATGTGACAAAAAAACCTACCCATGCCCATAATGCATAATGTGACAAAAAACCTACTCATGTCCATACTGCTTAATGTGACAAAAAAACCTACCCATGCCCATAATGCAGAATGTGACAAAAAACCTACCCATGCCCATAATGCATGATGTGACAAAAAACCTACCCATGCCCATAGTGCATGATGTGACAAAAAACCTACCCATGTCCATACTGCTTGGTGTGACAAAAAACCTACCCATGTGACACAAATAAAAATAACGCACACACCTCCATAATACGTGTTTAGACCAGTAAAAATAGCCCTCCCACGCCATCATTCGAAACCGCACGAATCCTTCCAATTATACCTATATCGATACTCTAAAGTAATTTGATGATAGGTGTTAAAACTACACCGCACAACGAAGTTGAACACTTAGGTAAAATACCAAACGAAGCGAGGGAAAACAGATGAAGTGATATCAGTTAAGGCTTAAAAATAACTCGGCTAAATGTAGGTGATATTCAGCACCTAATTTATGTTTACAATGTTGACATTTAGCACTTATATGTTTTCTAATACAGTCATCTAGTTTAATTAAACAAATATCTTGTAACACGGGGGAGAATGTTATAATCCCCGCAGTATGTTGCTGACTTGACATTTTCTCCAATTAAAATGGTGGCTAGTGATACTAATGTTGCCATCACTACTTTACAGAAAGCAACGTGTGATAGTAGCTGATGTTGTATTTTCTGCTATACTCTAGAAAGCAAATCGGGATTTTTTAAAAACAATTTCCAGTGTTAAACTATGCTACGGCAATTTTGACTGTTAAGGCTAGACTATCTGAAAATTGATTGTAATTTTTCAGATACTAACCTACCCTAAATATGATTGCTACCCTAAAATTGATTGTAGTTTTTCAAATGCAAGATTACGATATAGCAATTAATGATTTATGTTTTGTTTTTTTAAATACCGCGCTATTCTGCGAAAGATTGCATTTTTAAAAGAGTAAACACATTTGTTTTAATCATACTTATTGTTAAGCTGCAGTAAGTATGATAAAAAATAATTGTTACAGTTTAGAAAAAAACTGCTGCGTAATACGACCTGTTTTTTTCTTTTGTCTACCAGCGTTTTACGCAACATGATACGTTGTGCGTATCCCAAATTAATTATTCCCCTAATTAATGTAAAGCCATTAGCGTAGAGGGGGGCGGGGCTGGAAGGGGAAACTACTTCCTATGGAAATATTTTTTCTTCCACCCCGTTATTGGACCACTGGTGATGACCCTGGGCTCAAGGTCAGGAACTACGTAGATAGCTGGCACAAATGTGAGCGCCCAAAACAGCTGTTGATCGGGTAATTAATGGGTTAATTGATTAACGCGTGGCGAGAGAGGGGGGAACATCTGGAGCGTGAAGGTCAAAGGGTAAGGGTCAAGTAACAGTGACTTTTGTACTGGGTGTGTGGTGAAATTTTGTAAATAATCGGTGGTTTTATTTTCTTTGGGTGGTAGTTGTTTTTTTTTTTTATTCCACTGGTGGTTTTCTTTGCTTTCAGGCGTTGTATTTTTTTTTTCCGTTTTTTTTGTGTTTTTTTTACTGACGTTGATTTCGTTTTCTTACTGTATCCAATAGTTGACATTTAATAAACGATTCTTTATTTTAAAATGACTTTTTCTACCCAAAACTAGACCTGCCATTATATGCCATAGAGTTTCCCTACAGTCTCAGAGCTCAATGAAGTGAGACCAGTATTAGCTGAATGAACAAGCTATTGATTCTTAAGGCCTTTTCATCATACTAGAGAGAATAGTTTATATAACTGTATTGTTGAAATACTACTGCTAATAATAAAACGTGGGTTGCATAAATGTTGATTTAGAATTGTCAATGAGTAGCCTACACCTATCTAGCTAGTAAGTAACCCTAAAGCTAACCCCACTATTAAAAAAAAATGAACATCTGTGTCATGGTTTAACTTAACTTATCATTCACCAGTGAAGTACTGAACAGGGTTTTTTTAATCGTTTAATTTTATAGCCACATGTTTTTTAGTGTATTTCTCATTTCTGCATATCGTGGTGTTGATTTAGTACCGTCCCACGCTTAAGCACCACCCACCTTAACTTCTGATGGCCTTAAAGTCGTCCCCCCCCCCCACCTAGACCTTGATGGCCTTACAACCCACCTTCACCCGAATCCCTAACATGTTTTAAATTTACCCATCATTAATGTTTTTTGTAAAAAAAAAAAAAGGGCAATAAATGTGTTTTTTTATCCCACAGCCGTATTGACCTTCACCTTTCGCCTGATGATCCCCCCGTCCATTCACGGCGTGGGTTCAGCCCTCGAGTTCACAGACCTGCCAGACATTCCATTCAAGACGCTCGGTGGTTCCCCCTGACCTCACCCCTTCCCCCTGCCTTTCACAGAGCCACCCCCCTACCCGCCCCTCCCTTCATAAAACTAAACTTTTCCCGCCCTGCACCACCTGACCTGACTCCTGTAGGTCACCCTCCTCCCCTCCCCCCGTCCCGGAGCTGTACACAATACAGGTCAAATAGCCCACCCCCTCACAACCTTAATCGTCCAGATTAAGATAGTCGCGGTCAGAACACGACCACCACTAGCTATTAACACGTGAATCACCTACAGATTGTTCCCGAATGTACCACCGACACTCCTTCAGATGAAAGAAGTGTTTTATAGCAGTGGACATAATTTAAAAAGTTAAAAGGCAGGGGTTGTGTTGATGATACCTCCCCCCTTTTTTTTACTCTTTCTCCGCCGTTCAACATCCCTCCTCCCTCCCCCCTTCCAAAGTTCACTGGGTCATATTTGCATAGCTATGTTCCTGCACAAGAATTATCGGGTTAAAAATCCCAATTTTCTTTAACTCTTAAAACATATTTTGTTTGTATTCAATACATGTACGGGGCGGTGTGGCCTAGCGGTAGAGAGCTAGACTGTTAATCCGGGTTCAAATCACTAGATCGTCCGCCCTGCTCTGATGGATACCTAACTCAAGAAAACAAAGGCGACTGGACAATCAAACAGATGAACTCTACTTTAACTGTCGCGACACAAACCTGGAAAAAAAATGAAATACGTGATTAGAAACTGTATTATGTGAATCAGAACATCTTTTCTGGACTCCAAAGGAAAGCTGTCAAGAATATTTGATATTTATGTAACAGATACATAAGCAAGGCGTGTGACAATGGACTTTAGAACTGGTTTCTCTGCTGTGTACGGTGTTACAGATGTTACTGGGGGGGGGGGATGATTTTAAGGGGTGGGGGTGGTCGATGTCAGGGTGTCGGTTGATGTGTACGTGAAAAGGTGAGTAGTTGGATGGCGTTGGAAGGTGGGAGACGTCTCGGAGTAAATGAGATGTGGAATGATGTGGTTTTGTATGGTATGATACAAAACGGTATCACATAATATGAAATAGTATAACGTGGGTTAAGTGGTATAACATCGTATAAGATTAAGTGAAGGTACGAAATTGTCACTGAATATGGTTGTAAATTCACCTTTAAAATTTATAATACATTTGTTATGACGTAAGTAAAATAGGCGACCCAGGA